AGATGACCAAAAAATTATTAACCTTATGCAGGGATTTTATTGAAAAATTAAGAAGCCACCATCATATCGTAATTTTCTCATGGTTCCTTGCAAAATCACGGAAATCTAAAAACGTCCTGTCGAATTAAATTACATTGTACACTTTATAAGTCACCATCTTTCAGCACATCGAGATCACTGATGTTAACAACCTACACACGACGTAAATACCTTTGTCCCCTATAAATCTCAGCAATTACTCTGCAGAGAGTATCGTCAAACGAAGAAAGCAAGTTTTCCTCGCGGGCAGGGATTCCTCGAAACGCAGTCGTGTCACGGGATCGTTCAGCTCGCGTGTTTGCGGCAATTAGAGGAAGGTGTGACAGATACGAAGAGGTTTTACCGTGAAACGAGCATAGAGTCGACGTACACACACGCACACAACAAACACAGACAGGCGGGGGGCAAAGTATAGCCGGCCATAAATTATCGACCGATGCTTTGGAATTAATCGGATCCTAGAAATGGCCGACGAGACTCGATCGTGTGCATTCACTGTGAAGAGAAGGGACACCATAGAACCAGGCGGCGCGACCAATTAAACGGACAAAGACGTCCAAATAGGATGCTGGACCGTCATAGAAGTATATATTTACTTGTGATTGGACGCATCGAGTTCCCGCGGTGGTCAACCGTTGGCGCGCATGCGCCGGACGCGAAGTAACGAACGGCCGGTAGATCGCGCGATCGATAATGTCCTCATCCATTTCCATTCAGCGGTTCGCGTAACACCTCGGCCACGACGAAATTACTTAATTTGCGCGCTCGGTGTGTTGCCTCCGTACCCTCGGCTGTCTGCTGTGATCGTTAGTTAGTTAACTGGTGGGGGGATTGGGTGATCTACGGTCGTTTTAGATCCTCTTTACTGTCCCCGCGACGCGTTGAAATCGAATGGCTCGATTCTATCAGCGGTACCCGACAAAAAGCGAACGCATTTGATGGAGTACGGTTATGTAACGGTGCACGCTGGAGCAGTTTTGTTTTGGATGAAATTGTTTCGAGAGCGATATGTCGTAATGAGTTATTCTGGCGGGTGATCTACGGTCGTTTTAGATCCTCTTTACTGTCCCCGCGACGCGTTGAAATCGAATGGCTCGATTCTATCAGCGGTATCCGACAAAAAGCGAACGCATTTGATGGAGTACGGTTATGTAACGGTGCACGCTGGAGCAGTTTTGTTTTGGATGAAAAAGTATTGTTTGGGTGAGTCACCTAAGACTAGAACCTGAAATATCTTTAAAAAATGTTTCAGACAAAAATTGAATGGTGTCGAGAGAAATAATTTAACGTGATTAGTTTTTTTCATAGGTTGATATGTAGAACAGATATGAAGATCAAACTTGTTTTTTTTTTTTTTTAATGGAATCGTATATTTTTGTATATTTAGTTAAGTTGTCAAGGATAAATAACTTTTTTATTTAGTTTTCCCTATCCACCAGAGAGGTTAAGAAGTGAAATTTTGCTGACGCACTTAAAAGAAGCTGAAGTATTATAATTTTGAAATGGTGAATTGAATTGATTTCAGAATAATTCCATTTAATTTGGGAAAATTCTAATTCTATAGTCTAATATACTTAAACGTGAACCGTCTTCACCAGAGGGAATCCAATTTAAGACGCGAAGACAACAATGGGACTCGATTAACGGCCGGCGATACGAAGACGTCGAAACGAAGCAATCGATTCCGTTCGATAAGAGAGCAACATGTTTCACCTTCGAGATAAATCCGGATTAGCCCGATGAGGCAGTCGGAAGAGAAACGTTGAATCTCAAAGGGATAAGGTTACAGTAAATATAATGGTTTGCAGTTAACCGGTTTCACTCGTAAATTGTCATACCGAGGATGGTGAATTTATGCTGGCTAGCAATTTATGTAGATCCAACCACTCGAATATCCAGTTCAAAAGTATCGAGTTTACAAATAAATTGAACATCCAATCAGCCGCTAAACACGCCAACGTTCCACGTACACTGGGCGAAACATGTAAATTTCATTCAACCTCATTCAACTTAATTTCTCGTTAAACTTCATTTTTTTTTTTCTTTTTTATTTGTAACTATTGATATTTTGTCTGCTCTCTGGCTATTTTATTTTGTATACAAATGGATTCATACTTATGGGCATAAATAAACATTTAAAGACTGTGGTGAGAGGTAACATTGCAGAAGTTTCGCTTTATTCGATCAAACGAAGGCCATTGAGAATTTCTTGGGTAGGAACAGTTAAGGAAGTAAAAAATAGACGAGTTAGAAGATTGAATTTTCTTTGAAGTACGTGGAACCTCGAGGATCGTAAATCTGCCACTTCGTAGTTCAAGTTCGTACTTTGACCGCGGTGCTAGTTCAAGAAGTTTCCTGCTACAGTTCTGTGAAACGTCCAAGAGAACTCCACCGATAGGTTTTCAGAATTTAATAGATGAATTATATCAGGCATTGGTATATGAAATAAAAAAATTTGTCATTTTTTATGATTTTTTCTCAATCGTTACTATATTGAACTGCACTTTTCACGTATAATTTCCATGTCTCAAAATTTATAGCGAGACGGTTATGGTTAAATAGAAATTTTCACTTTATTTAGGTATTTATATCCTGAAAGACGATTGGTGCATTCTAACATTGTTCTATGACACAGTAAAATATTAATAATTATAATGACTCTGAATCTTTAATTTAACCTAACCTCAAATTCGTCCACTTCGAGAAACATCATTCTACAAGATCCTCCATATTGGAATTACTCTCGAATCGAAGTGGACACTGATCGATCCTTAATCAACTTCGCTCGGTATCGAGGAATAAAGGGAACAACGTGGTACGAAAAGAAGGAAGAGAAAAGTCGTGTTGAATCGTTAACTGAGCCGACGACAATGTCTGTGGCGTGGTTTGAAGCCACCATGGCAACAAATCACTCCTTATATAGTCGATCGGGCTTTCTGTACGCGTAAGATGAAAAGAAACGGTGCAAAAAATGAGCAACAGGGGCCGCGTGAAGGGGGAGAAGAAAAAGATGAAACGAGGAAAATAAAAGAGATGAGGAACACAACAGAGACGCAGGCAGAGAGATGGTGCTGCTGAAAGAGGTTGAGTGCGGCGAGTATTTGACGGCAGGGGGGCGAGCAGAGGGGATCGAGCCGTGAGGCCCCATGCGGCGCTGAATCACGCTCGGAACCTTTTTTCACTTTGTGATCCTTCAACGGTGCCCCCGTTGGAGGGCTCACCTTTTGTGAAGCTGTGGCGCCGTGATTTTTCATGGTCGCCGTCGAGGGAATAGTCGAAACACTCGCTCGACTTGTATTTCAGGCCCTTTCTTCCTATTTCTGCCGCGACAGCCTAACCTAACCTCCAATCGATTATTCTTGGCTATTTTTACACGGTTTTATCTCCGCTTCTGAGTGGATTCTCGGTATTCGAGACTCGTTATAAATTATATCGCTACTGAAAACTGGTATATACCTGATCGAAATGGTGAGAATTTTATTCGCTCGGTCGGAATCCGTGCAAAAATTCGTTCTTTATTAACCTGTTCAGGAACACTGACACATATGTCTATACATATTTAGTATTTTTAATATTATTGTTTTTTTGTAATACATGTGATAGAAAAATATGAAAATATAGTGAATAACTATTCATTACATAACCTAACCTAACAAGCAACACAAAGTCCATTTTGTTGAAAACAGAGAAGCTTCTGTAAAAAAAATATTCTACTCTTTCGATCCTTTTGTTCAAAAGGAGAATCATTCTTTATACCTGGTGATTTAATATGTAACATATCTACGATTGAACAATAGAAAATTAAAGGTAAAAAATGATTAACACGGTGTTTAAAATAAAGGAACGGAAGAACGCGTGAAAAATGGAGCGTGAAAGATTGGCGGAGGGGGAAGGTACGTAACAACAGTCCATCCGAAATACTGATCGATAAGAGCTGTCGATGTGTTATGTTCGGTTACAGCGTCACGATAAAAGAGAAGTGAGAGGTAGATAAAAAAGAGCGATAGCGGAAGAAGAAGAGAGAAAGGGCGTGTGTAAAATGAAGAATTACATCGGAATCAGACGATGGGTGTTCCGCCAATCAGTTGCTACTTGACAGGGAATGGGTGAATGCTATCGATGATCAGGGAAATGATTAATGACGTGGCGGTACTATAAACGCGGTAATCTGTACCGGCATCAAGACCGATTTACATTGTACCGTTTCTTGTTTCGAAGGTGTTACGTGTCTGGCCTACCACTGTGTGCCTCTCAAAACAGCCGTCTGCTGTCTCGAACTAACGACTTCAGGCGAGTGGATCTTCTGTTTCTCGAATAGAAAATCGTATTGAAGATTTATTTTCCTTTTCTTTTTCAGGAGAATAAAGAACATTTCGATTGTTGCATCGTACGTTTTAATTCGTTCAATTGTGCGTTACGTTAAAAGAATGAAATATTTTGGGTGTTCTTATAATTGAGTTTGAATTATTTAAGTTAGGTTAGGTTAAGTTTGTGATACAACCATTAGATTTCCTTGTTACAGTAACAAATCGATTGGATATTTATATTTCTTATTTTTTTTTTTTTAGGAGAAGAACGAATGTTAGGTTAGGTTATATACAATTTTTTTTTGTATATATGTATTTACAATTAATTTAATACTCGAATCATTCCAGAATACGCAAAAAAGAAAAAAACTAATTTATGCAAAATTCAAATTGTCACAATTTTCGATTTTTCACCCAAATACGGTTGTTCGTTGTCTATTTGAATTCGCGTTCGCTCTTTCACTCATCTCTCTTATTCGCCATGATAAATAAAATTGTAAAGGTATGCAAAATATGTAAATTGACTCGAAATGAACGTGGAAATTTTTCAAGAAAACGTGCTTCGAGGGAGCACTGTATGTAGTATTATAGTTGTCTCCGGTAAAAGCAGAACAAAGAGTGATAGTAAGATGATAGCGAGGTTTCGTGTTTCAGGCGGGCATGCTGCGTGGCGATCACGGAGAGTTCTGGTTGGAACCAGTCGTTGTGTCCCCGGAAGAAGAACAAGTCCGGCTGGAAGACGCCGGCGCCGACGGACGCGAACACCGGAACTCGTCGCTGGCCAGGCCGCATCTCGTGTTCCGTAGATCCGCCGAGCAGCCGCAGCTCGAAATCGGCGCCGCCGCTGCCCGCACCAGACGCCGACGTAAAAAGAAGAGAAAACTCGAGAGAAACTGTGGCACTCGCGGTGAGAACAACCCACCGATACCCTTCTCTTTTTCTTCTTCTTATTCTTCTTTTTACTCTACACCGCCTTCTCACTGTGCTTCTTATTTTTTCCTCTGCAATCTTTCTCAGTTGCTTTATTTTCTTTTCTTTTTTCCCTGCTTTTTGTTTGTTTCCTTTTGTTCATTTTACTACTGGTGACTATTGACTCCTTTTATTATGATAGTTTTTTTTAAACTTAGTTTCTTGTTTCTTCGTTTTCTTCATTTAAAAATTTTCTTATGTTTCAAATAGAATATTATGATATCATTATGAATGATACAGTATTTAACAACAATTCCTGGACTCTGAATTTAATGAGATTTATTGTGGTGAAATGGAAGACGATAAAGAGGAAGGTATGACACCTTTATAAATTGAAATTAAAAAAAAAATTTTTAAAAAATTTTGCAATTTGAGTGAAGAAACTTTTGTCGCATACTGTATAATAGTATTTGTTTTTCAAATAAAAACTTGTAACAGTTTTAAGAGCTAAGAAGAACGATTGAAAATTCCTGAACATGGTCTGTCTGACTATTTTTTCTTGTTCTACTTGCTTCTATGGATTGTTTGGACCGTGGCCGCTCAAGCAGCTGTTTTGAGAGCAAAAGTGCTCTTGTTTGCCCCGAGTAGAGCTGAGAGCAGTGGCCGGGGCAAATGACGTCAGCAGTCGTGAAATAAGTGGGGAACAATAGTAGTGGTGGGAGTGTAGGCTCGTAGGTAGGCATGTGTTGGTACGTTTGTGAGGCGTTTCGTATCATCGGTTACTTTTTTCAATACGTGCCTAGCTATTTTCAAAGCATAGTTCTCAATATTAGGCCAGGCGATCACTAATACATTCATACAGCTCCCCACCATAAGATCGTTGCTCAAGCAAGCGTAGTCTATTGCTCTAACATCGTTCCTATGCTTTCAATTTGTCTGACCACTTCACATAGAGCAACTTCGTGAGCGGTCCTGGTTTGGCCTGTGAGCAGAGAAATGTGAAAATAGTTGTTTTTAATTGAAATCATATTTATGGTTTAATATAGAGATAATGTTAGTTTAAAATAAGATTAGGGATAATGATAATTTAAAGTAAGATTAGGGTAAGGTATGGTAAAGATGTAGTTGAAAGACGGCTACTTAAGAACAGCTATTAGAAGTTAGAGGGCGAGGAATATTGCTTGTTCTTATGATAAATTTATGTTGTAAAAGTTGGTTTAAGTAGGGTTCATTATCGCCACGTTGTTTAGCGTGGAAGTTTGCTGGAAAAAATGTCGCTTTACCTTTAATAACGATAATAGTGGAAGACTGAAAAGATATTTTAGACAATTGAAATCTTCGTTAGCTTACAGTAACAACCAACCTATTACAACAAGATTCATTAGGATTCTGTAAATGTAGAAAACTTTGACTGTGATTTTACTATGATCTATATATTCACGTGATATTTCTTCACGTTTCCATGATATTTATAAAATATTCAATATTGAGAATATTTAAGATTTATGTTCGTATCATTTTTTTTGTCACTTTTGAAACACCCTGTATATCCACACACGAAATCTTCACGGCAAGCGACGAAACCACTCAGGAGCAACAGGTTCAAAGATAAATAAGTACTAAATAGGTCGAATCCCCAGTTACCCTTTTGACTCGTCCCGTTCTCTTCCCGTTTCGTTTCTTTTTTTTATTTTTTCGCCTAGGAATATTTATGCGTCTGAGGCTACAGGGTATAATTGGATACACGAGCTGTAAACATGTGGGCGTGTCAACGCTTCGAACGTTATCTTCTTATCGATGAAATTGTCCGAGATGGATACGACAAATATTGTTACTTCAGAAAAAATTAATTTTCTTTTGCTGTGGACACGTACACGACAGTGTTTAATTAAACTATATTATCTTCGAGTGTTTCTATCTTTGCTACTCCCGTATTACCACGAGATTCAGCTTGTTTACGAGCGCGCCATATTTTCAAATCGGGCGTGACGCCATTATTTCTGCTCATAACGAATTTTACCGTTCTAATTGCATTACGAGACATAGATGGCGTTAAATCATTGGAAATGGCAAAGGCGTAACCTGTTTGCCGGATTACAACAAACTTTCTGTCATTTTCAACGATTATCCCAATATTAGTTCGTGCGACAAGTTTCTGCGTAATGAATGTAAGTACGTAGGCTGGACATAGCAGCGGATTGAGACCTAGTTTATCGTACGCTGTGCAAACAGGATAATTTCATACCTGGATCGTTATAGCTGGAAGATTATCGTTTACACTGCCTTCCTTATTTTTTCTTTTCTTTAAACATTGACGGACAGTGAAATTATTACTATATCACTGATAGTTTCTTTTCTATAAATTATAACTTTTTGTATTGGTGTAGGTATTTTCCTCAAAATTTAACGTATCAAGAAATTCCTCTCTAAATAGGTTAAATCACAATTCTAATCAATAGACACGAATCAAACCCGCCTACAATTGTATCCAATCAGTGACCACTTTACCCTCTCCATTTTTCCTTCGTGAAAAGACAGCAAAATTAACCTGTGGCCAGTATGTCTATGTGAACCTGCTTCTGCTTGTCGATCGTAAATCAGTTTTAACAAATACCGAAGCCACGCCTTATTTCCTCCTTTATTTCCCTCTCTAATGTCCAACGGGACAGGTCGCTTCCGTTAATTACATCGATGTAAAGCACGACGTTGCGTGGACACTGGGAAAAAACCGCCGGCACCTCTCCTCCGCAGCGAGGAACTTGTAATTAATAGCGAACCAACCGAAGCAACGGACTGTTGGTAATAGCGAGGGGGAAAGGAGTGGGGTGGGATGCAGGGAACGACACCTACAGTGAGAACGGACCGACACCTTCTTTTTCTTCTGGAGCCTAGGTTCCCCTCTCTTCTCTTCTGGCCTTTACTTGTGGCGGCCTCCTCGTTCGCCAGCGGCGCGTATTACAAGTATTTACGCCTTCTACGCATATAATGTAATTGGTCGCGTCACGATAGGTAATGTGGGCGTGCCAGCGACATCTCGAAGCTCGTCCTTTTACCGGCGCGATGCATCTTTGAAACACTGCCCAGTGAAAAATCGCATTTCAATATTTATGAGCTTGTCACAGAAGCTTTCGATAAAATCTCATTGCCGCCGGTCATCTGTCCACCCTGTTCCGCCACTAATTATCTTAGAATTGAGTAGGTTAATACGTATGGAGTGTGAGGGTTAAGTGATTGAAAGGGAGGTGGGGGGACAGTTAAGTTATCACGTGACGACGAGTCAATAGTAGTTAGGTTGGGAGGGATAAGTGAATCAATGGGCAATTTGGTGTGATTTCTAGTGAAATTCGAGATGTTTGGAATTTATTCATCTGTGTAATCGTTTGTATTCGAAGGGAGGGAATATCCGTGGTAATTTGCAAGATGTAATATTTAAACAGTATACTTTACTAAAAACTGGAAATATTCAAATGCAAAAATTATTTCTACTTTAAGCCTAACCTACAAATGAATGTCTAATTTTGACTCGTCTTCAAAATTCCATTATAAAATACCATTAAGAATACAATTTGACGACGTAACGATCAATGTACAAACTCAGATTTGCTCCCTTATCAGTGAGATGGATCCACCATCGAGAATCAAGCGAACCGCTACGGTACATGTCCAAACTTTGATTGCTCGATTCCAAATTAACTAGGCGGATACACACACACACGTATCGTAGCGGCAATTGTGAGAGCGCCGCGAGTAGTCGAGAGCTGAAATTCGCAGTAAACCGGAATCGGCAGTCGAACTCCCCGGAGCAAAGTGTCCATGGGAGCGCGATTAATTCGACTAATTTGGACACGAATTTCGAAAGTGCTGATCCGCGGCCAGTGTTTGCCACGAATCCCAGGTCTGTGGAACCTATTAACCGAGTGACGAGGCCGCGTTTCAACGGATTAAACGATCCCTGCGAAGGAGAGTCGATGTATACTAACCTTCTCTTGGGCGAGAAAGATCGGGCTGTTTGATAGGTGGCAGTCAACGGGGATAATCCAATTCGCTGCAAACCCGTAATTAACCACAATGAATATCCATTTCGGCAAGCGGGACGATCTATCGGCGGAGACTCGAATGAAATCTTAATTGCATGCCTCTCTGCAATCGAGCAATCTGCATAAATTAAGGGGACCGTCTTACGTGCCTCGCGAGTGTACATCTTTTTCGAGATAGAGGCCGCCATGCCACTAGCCGATTCGTTAGATAGCGACGCGCGGCAATTTTGAACACGGGATTACATGCTCCGCTCGAAGATTGATGGGGCTCGCGTGAAAATTAAACATCCCTTTCGAGGTACGCGAAACTCGTTCTGCTGCTACTCATTATCGCCACTATTTTTAAGTACTTCTTTTTTGAATGATTAGTCTCGTAATTGTTATTATAGTAGGTTACAAAGCAGGTTAAGTACCTCGTTTTATGATGGTTTAATTATCTACTAACATATTGCCTCGTCTGCTAATTTCCCAGTTAACTGGAAATTAGTTCTGTGAATAACCTGAGATTTTTCAACCGAACAGTTTTTTAACACGTTGAAAAGCGATAGTTTCGTAAATGAGACATTCTATACAGAATAAAAAAAGACATTTAGTATCCACTTCTTAAATGTACAATGTATTCCCAGATAACCTATGTATACATATATGTCCCGTACGAACGATCGATTCAACCTAAAGCCAGAAATTAATCATGAAAACCGCATCAGTATGACCCCCGTACAGAAGTTGGAATTCCCCTCGTTAGAAACAAACGTTAACGCGTAAAGAGCATTTCCGTTGAGCCGGATCGAATTACAAATCGAACAGTAGGGGAACGGTAAACACGTGACACGGGGTATTGGGTTTCGCAGAGCCTAGACGGTTGACGGAGACGCGGCTCGAGTGGCAGACGCAGCCTGGTTTGGTCCAGGTTCAAGGACGCGGCCGAAGAAAACACTATCAGACGAAACGGTGGCAGCGTTCCAGGCGATCGATCAGTCGACCACGTCACGTCGAGGCTCTCGTTGTTGCTGACACGACGATGATGGCTTTTCATCAAGACGGCGACGTCGAGACGTATCTGCTGACCATCATGAACATGGTGTCCTCGCTGTACCTCGATCCGACCATCGGGAATTTCATCAACGTCGTCGTGGTCAGGATTATCCTCGTGGAAGAGGAGGACGCCGAAGTACGTGTAAATCGCTAGTAGTGATGTGCGTGTCGCGCCCGACGGATAGATGTCGGACTGATTCTCGTGGGACCGTGTTAACGAGTTCATTATTATACAGGGTGTTTGTCGTGTAAATTGTTGCATGGTATTTAGAGATAGCGGGAAAAATGATTACGTATACTTTTCTCAATGCAACGGGATACGAATGGTCGAAATTTTGCATAGATCTTCTTTGATGCAATAAAATCTAATAAAAATATTTTTCAAACACTTGAAATGAAAAATCATTTGTAACGTATAACATGTGATACTTTATGCGATACACATCCTGTATGAATTATTTGGTTCTAAAAAATTCGATTTTAGCTTCGCGTCGTATCTTGATTCTTGAAAATCGTTGGTAGGTTTTTAAAAATTTTCTTTTTCCTTTTTTTTGTAAGGAGAAGGTAGATGTAGTTATAAGAGAAGATCTTGGTCGCAAATTAAAGATTGTAAATGAATTTTTTTAGTTATATGTTCTAATAACTAAAATATTTTAACAAGGTGAATTTTCAACTAATGTGTAAACAATTTTAAATGAGAGTAAATAATGATAGTACAAATTTTCCTAATAGTATCCTACCAATATAATATAAAAAATATGTTTGAGATCACTTTATGTTCGGAAATTTCAAATGCCTCAATGTATAGTGCTACTAACGCCATCTAGCGCTTGGCGAAGGAATTAACGTGTGTAAACACGCTTCAAACTCAAGAAGTACAGTACGATACAAAATGATTATCATAGTAAATATGTTTTCTACAATATTATATACATTCTTGCATTTAGAATTGTTAGACAAAATTCCCACTTGAAAAAATAACCTTAAGTGACGAATATCTTTAACTAATCTACATTTCTACCACCGGAAACATTTAAAACAATAACACTGTTCGAAAAATGAACTATTACACGTCAATAATATTAAAAATTCAAACTGTTTGTAAAACGAATCATCACGAACAAAGTTTAAATCCGGTCTACAGTGTATGGTACATTCGAATCGAAGCCGACGGTGGTCGTAAAGCGAGCGTGGTTTGAGCATCGGAAACGGAACGGGCAGCGGAAAATGCGCGCATTTCTATTCAACGTGTTGGCGAAACCGCCGGCAACTAACGTCTGTTTTCAGCAAGGGCTGGACATCACTGTGAACGCAGACAGGACGCTGTACAATTTCTGCAAATGGCAACAGAAACTGAACCCGGTGGATGACTCGCATCCGAATCACCACGACGTGGCGATCCTGGTGACGAGGGAGGACATTTGCTCGAGGGCGAACACGCCATGCAGCACTTTGGGAGTGGCCCACGTTGCCGGTATGTGCCAGCCAGACCGCAGCTGTAGTGTCAACGAGGACAATGGGATCACGCTCGCGCACACCATTACCCACGAATTGGGACACAAGTGAGCGAAAAGTTTTGAAAGAAAAAAGTCGAACGATCGAACGCCAATCGTACTTCATGAATGAATTTGCAGTCTACTTTAATTTATGGAGTAACGGATTTGGATATTTACTTCAAAAATTAACAGGACTTCACCAAACATAACCTCTTTGTATTTTGTTTAATGGGAAATGAGTTGAAATACTTTTAACAGTAGATACGATCAAATAAAAATGTCAAAATAATGTAAATGACTGATTAGCAATGTAGAGTGGAATGTGTGTATTATTTAACTTTTATTTTTAATAATACAAACTTCCAATGACTATTTTTATCATAAAATAATGGATAGTTTAGTTACTCGTTTAAAAGGCAATGAAAACTATTTTGAGTAAGAAAAACAATTAATACTTGGGTTTCATAACCTAAAAAGAGAAAATAATTCGCAGTGTTTGATGTTCAAGAACAGGCCATCCCTAAAATAGTCGAGGAATTTCACAGAGAGAAAGTAACGGTCTGGAGGAGGTGAATTATCTCCGCGAGACTCCAGTTTTATCCCTGTAATCCACAGAAATTTATCGTCTCTTTTTTATTGGATCCTTAGAAGCACACTTAGCTCGCGGCCGTCGGCTTCTTTGCCTCACGGCAATTACCCCAACACACATTTCATATTTCTCCACGACTGAGTATCCTCGAGTTGGCTAGCTTCTTACCATCCTGTGGTACGACTTATTGTGTTTGGATTTATCGTTGTTAAGCGTTCTTTCACCACCGTTGGTTAGTGGCACTGAGCTTAAGCATGCCGAACTCGAGTTTAATTTTGACCCTAATTGTCTTCATTTATCGAATTGAACAGTATTAAATATAAGTTCTATAGAGTATCTTATATAACTGTATCACTTGAGATACATATATTTCTTCTATTTGTTACGTGTATTTAAAGGTATATTTTTTAAGCAATGAAACTCTGATTTTATGTGAAAAAAGGGAGGTCAGGTTAGGTTCTTGACTACACATAATAGAATATAATTTTTTTAATGAAGCAAAGTTTAACCTAACCTTGACACAAATAACCGCTAAAACAACAAAAAAAGAAATGAATTAAATTCTCTATTTAATAAAAGACACTTATCGTTAATAAATACTTTTCATCAACTCATACAATTATGCAAACTCAGTAGTGTAGTTTATTTACCACTCAAATCAGGAGTGCTCATTCATTTCACACAAAAATTGTGGAAAACGAGACAAGGAAAAATTTAATTCAGCCATTGCGTGGCACGCTTGGTCAGTAGAGCAAACATTCGGTAGCTCGTGGCCGTCATTAACCGATTCGTTTTTATTAGACGATAATGCGGCCTCGTTATCACGTTTACCGCGTATTTGGCTGCAATCGTATCACCGACGAGCACGTGCGAATTCGCGTCCCTTCCTTTCCTGACCGTTCCAATTGTCAAAGTGATTCACGGCTGTAGCTCGATTTCGATTGCAGCTTCGGTATGTACCACGACACGGAGAAGATCGGCTGTAGCAAGAGAGATGGCGACACTCTACACGTAATGACGCCGACATTTGAGGTAGACACCATTGGCGTAGCATGGTCTAGATGCTCAAGAAGGGACATCACAAATTTCTTAGAGTAAGATATACGTATTTGACAAGCGTAGTAATTAATTTTTTTTTTAAAAGATGAAAAAAGCTAGTCTTCCTTACAGTGTGTTTTTAAGAATATTAATTTTTAGCGATTACTTGAAGTGGAAATTGAGATTCCTTTTATTAAAAATACTGTCTTTTTTTACGAATAAAATATATTTTTGAAAAATGGATTTATGATGTTAAATACTTAGGTATACCTATGTAGTCTCTTAACTGCGGCTTGGACGTTTTTAGTTCTTTTCTTTGATATAACTGGGGAATGAATTGAATGACTTAATTGCCGAGCGTTTAAAGGCTGTAATTACAAGTGATTATAAGGCTGACGATTCTGTCTGGGACTGTATCAGTTCTTTTTTTCTCGATGTTAATTACTCGAGAAGACTTTATATCCGAGATAAGATTTTTATGTTTGTTTAAAATGCCGTTAAGATACGATAAGAAATATAACATTAATTCTTAAAAAAATGTTAATATCTTTATACATCTCGAACGTGGTTGCACTTGATAACTCAATTATCGTCATACAGTCATTTCTACTGCAGTATATTATAAATGTGTATTCCATAAATTTTCATTCGACATTTACGATTTCGTAAAGTAATTAAAATAACGTACTTATTTGCCGCCATTTAATTGACACATTTCTCACAAAGTTGTATTTTTAGGTTAGGCTAGTTTAGATTCTTTTCACATTATAAAAACAATATTGAAACAAATAATTGCTACTTTTATCGTAGCATTTAATAACGATATAGAAAAAAGGAATTTTCAACAAGAATTTTTTTTATACAGCCAGGGAAAAGGTGAATGTTTGGAGGACGAGCCAGCACACAACGATTATGCGTATCCAGACTTGCCACCTGGCGCGATGTACAACGCTGAACACCAGTGCAGGCTTCAGTTCGGCGTCAGGGAGGCTTCCGTTTGCTCTCCTCTGCAGGAGGTGATGAGAAAAAAGAAGTAAATCGAACACGGGACAATTTTAGACCGGTGAATAAAGAATTCTGTAATTTTGTATTCAGATCTGCTCTAAATTATGGTGCATCGTCGACGGCACTTGCACCACCATGCTTCATCCGGCTGCACCGGGGACACACTGTGGTAAACACATGGTACGAAAATGTCAGATTACAAAAACCAAGTAGCAGATTAAACTAAAATCTGGACTAAGAAAAAAATGAACATAAATAAAAAGGTTATGCTAAAGTGTACCAACATTCGCCATATTCAATTTCCAATAGTCTAAGGTTAAACACACACTTCTTTTTTATTTATTTAATTATGGGTATAAACCTTTTATAGTATTACAATTCAGAAGAAAGAAAGAAAGAAAGAAGAAGCTAAGGAAAGTAGGAAGAGAAAAAAAAATAGGATGCATCTAAATAGATATTTGATTATTTTCAATTAAAAATGAATACAATTAGAGTTAAAGAAAAAGGAAGAAGTAGAATTAGAATTAAACAAATAACCAGAACAGATCAGCCGTGAATGTAGCGGCGCTAATGTTCAACAATACTTATAATGTTATCATAGTGGTGTCAGAATCAGGAGTGCGTGCCAATAGTAGACAGGCCGCGTCAGATAGATGGTGGTTGGGGTGAGTGGGGCTCTTGGAGCGAGTGCTCGAGGACTTGCGGCGCAGGCGTCTCGATCGTCGAGCGGAAATGTGACCATCCAGAGCCAGCTCACGACGGCAAGTTTTGCATCGGCGAGAGGCGTCGATACAAAATCTGCAACACTGAACCGTGCCCCGAGGGCACGTCCAGCTTTAGAGCGATTCAATGTAGCAATTACGATGGCAAGGAGTATAAAGGGAAGAATTACACATGGCTGCCGTATTTTGATCAGAGTACGTTTTAATCCTTTTGTATTTTTTTTTGGTAGTGGAATGTTTAATGGTAATGGAAATCGTGCAGAGTAAATTATATTAAATTGTAGAGTTAACAGAGGAAGTTGAGTTTTTACTCGTCATTTATATAACCAATATTTAGGACGTAATAAATTTATGTGCAGAGGGATTCTGTAACTTCTATCACATGAAATATGAATTAAAATAACAGGAATAAGACAGCTGGTTAAAATATTTTATTTATTCTAAATGATAAATACAGGAATAAACACAATTAACTAAGAGTAATAATTGAAATTGTGATGTGATTATTTGTGTGTCAAAAAAAAAATTAGCATACATTATCTTTCTACTAATTTACTACTACAAGTTCACATGTCAATTTCTTTTTATCTTTCTGTGAGAAAACTTTAATTGTACACACATTAGAAGTCAAAATATGACATGTGTATAATAATTACTAAATTCATAAGATAAAAGTAATTCCCCCTCCTATTAAATTTTATGTAACTAGATTAGGTTAGATTTTCCAACTTGTTACGTTATCATTTAAAGTTGAATTACTTTCTGTGCTAATAATTCACAATAGTATCCCGTATTCCATAGAAGTTTAATCTGTCGAATATTAACGAATGTTATCTTTAATTGAAGCGGAGCCTTGTGAATTATACTGCACCGATACAGAGGAGAGCGTAATCGTTCCATGGGGTGAAGCAGCTCTAGATGGCACACCTTGTAACGTTGGCACCAGGGACATGTGTATTGCTGGAATCTGTCGAGTTAGTTTTCATCTTTCATGATAATAAAAAATATTTCATTTAAAAAATTTTAAATACATTCGAATTTTTCCATTTAATATCACAGAAAGTTGGATGTGATTGGGCAGTAGATTCAGATGCCACAGAAGATCGTTGCGGAATCTGCCACGGAGATGGAACTCAATGCGAAACAACTGGAGGAGTTTATGAAAAGAATGATGGTCCAGGTTATAAAGAAGTCATCGTCGTCCCCATTGGATCAAGAAATATAAAAATCGAAGAGATTGGTAACAGCAAAAATTATATTGGCATAGGAGTGCCGAATTCTGACAAGTACTTCCTTAATGGAAAGCGGTAAATAATAATTGAAAGATAAAATAAAAAGTTTAAAATAATTATAAGTAAAAGATACAAGATTTAGAGGAAAGTAAACGAGGAAACTATGATTTTTATTGCAATTGGACAGGCAGATCACTTTAGCAGGGGAATACGAAGTCGCCGGAACTCCAGCCCTTTATGAACGTGATCGTGACAGAGAAAAGGTCAGAATTCCAGGCCCTATCAGAGAGGACATCGCTGTCTACGTACGTATTCAACATTAACTAACTCTAATCACACTCTTTAACGTTTTCTTTCAACTCTACCTGGCTCGAAAGTTATAGCCGATTAAACATGTAAAAAGAAGCATTGCGAAACTGTTGAAATTCTTAAAAAATCAGGTTTACATCCAAATGATATTAAAAAAAATGACTAGATATGTTCGTCTCATTGATTAAAATATTTTTGATTTTTTAGTTTCTTACATTCTATTCAATAGAATAAAAGAAATCAACGTTAAACTGTAAGTAATCTTTTTGCATGCTTATTCAGCTATATCCAACAGGGTGTTTCACCTAAAATGGGTAATCATCACTATTGAAGAAGATATTTTTAAGTGGCCTGTTTAGGTGAGACACTCTGCATATTTACATGAAATTACGTAAATATTCTACGCGCACACGATTCTCTAGCTACTTTCTCCTCATTCTCAATAATCGTTGTCCCATCACTTCAGTTGATTTCCAGAGGGCACTATCGGAATTTCGGGTTACGTTACGAATACACCGTGCCGAAGAAGGAGCCTGATCGTGCACCAGAGTACTCATGGGTATTTTCCGACTGGTCGCTGTGCACGGCCACTTGCGGCGGTGGCACACAGACCTCGAAAGCACTCTGCAACGAAAAGAAGAGCGGGGTCGTCGAGGACCACTTTTGCGAGGGCATCGAGAAGCCGGAATCGATTTTGCGGGAATGCAATTTGAATCCGTGCCCAGCCAGGTAAAACGCAAACTCGAGTACTGTCAGCCAGTCCTCTCCTCTCTCGATGGAATGGCGAAAAATCGGATTAAACCGCTTCTCGATCGCGACTCGTAAGAGCCTGGATACACATAATAAATTTTATTTACCGTTCAGACTCATATAGCGACCTGTTCCTAGTAGCGTAATCGAGTGCACTTTCATTCGATGACCCATTGGTTGGTTTATTGGCCAAATACATAAGTAATTTTGCCTCTCTTGATCCTTTTTTATGGAACCTTTTTAATGATGGATTTCAGTAAATTTTTTTTTTTTTTTTAAATGTTACTGTTCATGACCCGTATTTTTAGTCTTTACAATCAATGAAGTTTTTCTTCCATTTCGTTTCGGCAGTTTTATTTATAAGTTATATTTTGTAGAGTATCGTAATACTTCTATTCATTTCCATAAGTAAGACTAAAATTGTAAGCAACAAATTATTGTGCCAAAATTAGATGGTGGATCGGTCCATGGCAAATGTGTCCAGTAACCTGTGGTGAAGGCGCTCTTCGAAAACGATCTGTGATGTGTGTCTCCTCGGGAGTGGGCCCAGACAGATCAGATCTCGCTCTACCTGACAAAGACTGTAACAGGGACGTGAGACCTGAAGAAGTCAGTCCATGCCCTAATTTACCCCCTTGTGGATCAACTGAACCACCATTAATTGTCTATGCAGACAACAAAGATGCCTCTTTCTATAACGTGAGCTCAAATGACCAAGACGGTATCACGATCGTCGACGGTTTGACGACTGAGGAGCCGGAGATTCTCGAGTTTGATAATGTTGTCGACGAAAATCCAGATAATTCTATGTATAATACTAAATCAAAGTGGATCGTGTCGAAATGGAATCATTGCACCAATGGAAAGAGGAGTAGGAGGGTGACTTGTTCAGTACTAGGAGATTGCAATCCAGAGAACAAGCCAGCTACCATTGAAATTTGTCAGGGTGGGAGATGGGTCACTGGTGAGTTGCTCATTATTATTATTATATAGAATATAATATGAAAATATTTACATATTTTACTGTAGTTTGCTAGAGTGCAACCTACATTAGAATATAGACCATCATTCTTATTTGTATACTTCAGTTATCCATTATGCGAGTAAGGTTAGGTTTAACCTTCATTTTGTAAATTATTGACTATCAAATATGAATGCATTAATTCAGTTAGGTTAAGTGTGTTCATTATTAATTCATATCCATTAATTTGCATCCAGAAAGTTCAAACAATTGCAACCATTGTATGCAAATTAAAAATGTTTTAATAATAAAAAACTTCATAAAAATTCTAATTCTTCAACATAGTTATACGTTTATTATTTCGTTTTATTATACGTTTGCTATTTCGTGTTAAAAAAATGTCACTGTAAAATTACTTTCTATTACTATCCCATATTACTACACTAAAAGCACCATCGCTACTTGATACTTTTCTAACCTATACACGACACTTTTCTAATAATTTGCGGTACTCAGGCGGTTAAATTTAATATAAAACTAAAAAAACAATACGTAGTCACGGTCGTAACTGTTCCCACGGTCTGTCCTTTAGACCGTTACTCAGTAAAACAATATTTGAACTTATCCGTAGCTCTAACCATTTACATTCGAAAGGTTGGTCAACAACCACAGACACAAAATGGCAGTGTTCAAGCCTAAAACATCGATGTTTATGTACATGCTTACAGGAAGATGGGGATCCTGCAATGCGAGCTGCCTGGCAAGGGTTGGCATTAAGCGCAGGGAAGTCGAGTGTCGTGACCGTGTAACGGAATTGCTGTCCGACGATTGCAACCCCGAGAGAAGGCCAATCGATACCAGACGTTGTTATCATAGGCGGCAGTGTGCGAACGATAAATCCGGTAATTGCCTACGCCAGAGGGGATCGGTCATTAAGGGATACCCGCGGCTAACCTAAACCCATACATGGGAACCACTTCGTTTTCCTTCTCTTTTTATTCTTCTTCCTTTTAACGCGTATCTAGAAAGCGATAGTTTTTCATGGATCGTTAATCACGCCACGTTCTATGCACTGAATTATAACATCCTTCCAGTGAACACTTTACGATATTCCCTTCAGACTCTAGATGTGAATGGTACATTGGATACATGTGTAAGAAAATGTGTGATAACGCTTACCAACTACTTGCAATAATAAGGACGTAATGTTACTTATAAACACAGAGTGTCTAGTAATGAGTGCTATTACGTACAAAAAAGAATCGAAAATTTTATATTTATCAACATTATAAAAGTAATCTTACCATTTGTTACGCGGCATCCTGTATATTTAATTTTCAGAAATATTTCTTTCTTTTACCTTTTTAGACAGTGTGATTTTGATCTTGATTCAAAAATTAACATTTTATTATTCACTTGGATAAAAGATCTCTTACAATAATACGGAAGTGAACTCTGTCCTATAATAAGACGTAAAAAAATTCCCCGTTCTCAGTGATAAGAAAACTGCCAGTAGTACCAACATTGAAATTTCAAAATTACTTTCTATTCTAAGAGAAACGGAGTAATTAGAAAATTTTAATTACATTTTTTTTTATATATGCCTTTCTAGAAAAGGAAAAACATTTATCTTATGAAACACTGTATAGAGTATCGCACAGCATACGTTTGTTCCAGAATGCAAGGATACTATAGTACCAGCCTCAATGTGTGCGACATATAGACGCATGTGCGACGTATCATCGATCGTACAGGAGAAATGTTGCGCAACATGCTTCAAGAAACGAAGACATGGTCATCACAACAGAAGGCACATTTTCAATCATTGAGTAAACGGAACAGTGACACCTGGATTAATCAACTTCCGTTTTTTCGTCGCGTGGATACTTCTGTGAAACAGGATCCGTCCTTGCTTGTACTTCCTTCACGAATAAATTTTTTTGTAAGATTACGCGAAAATATTTCGAATACAGCAGATTTAAACAAAATGACGAAAAGCTATAAAATATGGAAATTTTCGTTTTATACTTATTTTAGACAAATTAAATAGAAAGACAGCAAAAAAAATTGTCAACTAGCATTCCGGTGTAAATGATATTATATTTTACTTTGACATTTTGAATAATATTCTGTAAATTTCAATTACCACACTATCACGCGATTTTCGGATACGTAAATTAGTTGTGTAGTTAGTAGACTTAACGGTGCAAATATAAAAATTAATAAAATTCGCAAAATGTGCAAATATACGTGTTGTACAGAGACTCGATATATTTTTTAATTACATAATTTAAAAATGCGAATTTGTATGTACCTATTGTTATAGATCTTATATTTTATTACTCTGCTATTGATGCTTCTAGCATGACAATGTTCAGTAGCATAATTTTGTTAAGTTTTGTTTCACTAATTTTCCATCTGCACGTACTGATTATAATCATTCGTTACAGGGTAAAAACTAAATATAATTTTTGCAGTTATGTCTCTTAAATATTTAATTTAATTTAAGTATTTATGATATACATTTAAGTAATATGTACTTGAAATACATTTCTAAATATCTTTATTTAATTTGATACAATTTAAGTGTATATGTTCATCTATAATATTTATTTACTTTACAAATTTTCAAATGCAGCTGTAAAATTCTATTCTTCCTTATGTCGCGCATTGTAGTTCTTTACATTAAGCACAACATAGATAGGAACTGTCATTATTCCTATATAGAAAACAACACCAAGTGCCATTTTTTCCTGCAATGATAAAAGAGACATTATTGTCATTAAAATACTTAGATATTTTTGATTTATTTAATCTATAATTTCAATATTTTTGACAATTATACATCTTTACATGAACTTTATACTAATAATATTATCTATACTTAATAGATTGATAAAAATTTAAAATGTACATAACCAATAATGATTAAACAAATCAATATATCTACAATTTCATGTAAACATTTTGAATATATACATAACCCTTTTTTTTATCACTGAAATATGATAAATTTGAAATTAAACTGTAATTCTTTTATACAAATTCCCTTTTTTCAAAATGACTGAGTTTTGTTTAAAAATTAAGCAAATGCAATTTAACCTTTTTTACGTAATAAAATAAGGTTAAACTCTGGTTGTACATAATTAACGTTATACATGAAACCACACATTTTTACGGCAAACGAACTATCTAATTCAAAATAATGTACCATAAAATTGAATTCAAATGACCACTTTATTATGTAATTGCGTTCAATAAAACTAGCACTTACAAGAAATGATACTCGAACTCTTGGAGGTGTGACGAGAAATGTTCTACGTTGATTTTCAGTTAATTTCAGTAACTGTGGCGTTCGCCTAGCTATTTTCTGAATTGCGAACATGTTTTTACGTTTCACAAAATCTGAACCGTACGACAAACGTAATCAAACGGATATGGTTTCAATATGAGTGCAGATTATACTCTCCGGTCACAATGAATATAGAAAGGAAAATCTAGGATATTTTAGGAGAAGTTTTAATAACATGTTATATAACTTAATAGAAGATATTTACCTTATAGTACAATATTAAGTAAAATAGAATTAATAAATAAATGTATAGTTACGTATTTAACGTCGAATCATAAAATTAATTGGAAATAAGATCTCTATAAAATCTAGGGAAATGACGTTGTAGTCAACATAAATATCTAGATATATGTATATACGTAATGCTTATAAAAATCACAGACCCTTAAGGTTTTTGAAATATAATACAGCATTTATGTTTTAATTTTGTAATGCAATAAAAATGTTATGAACTTTTAAACGTTTATTTCATTTTTTTCTGACAGAATCAGAATATGCAAAAGTAGTAAAAGATAATGTGTAAACTCATTATTAAATTAAAGAACATTTTATAATATATTCTTTCCTTATAACCATTTTTTGGTTTCATTAGTTCAAAGTAGAATTTTAAATAAATATTTTATACAAGTCATTAAATTCAAATGAGGTAATGA